GTAAATTTGATATTTAAAATGTTTCAGGTAATAAACATACATGTAATGAAAAATTACATTTAAAAGAAAAACATTTTATGTGATTAAATTAAACAATTATATAATCTGACATTTTGCAGTAAACAATTAATTTAACAAGCAAACCAGATGAAAGAGTCCATCTTTAAATATTCAGTGTAATTAAACAGTTATGAAAGAGTAAACAATAAAGGTTATGAAATAAATCGCACTTTAATATTTAGCATATTTCAGGGAAGAAGTGAATATGGAATGAAATAGATCCTGGCCTAGAAATGTCTGTCATTGAACATCACAGGTAACAAATGTGATGACTGTCTGATGCACTACATTTTATGAACATTGTTTAAAAATATTCGTAAAATATAAAATTCGTTATAAATAAAGAAGGGGTCAAATGCTTCATCTATACAGTAGAACAATTTCACAGATTTTGAGTTACTGGGCCACGATTTGGAAGCTACTGAAGAAAACATTTGATATTAAAATTATTTAAAATATTGACTACGACTTAAAATGTTAATAGTGTTCCTGGTGTAATAGCATGAATGACCACTGTTTGCATCAGTTGGTCACAAGGCGTTTCTTTACAGGAGAGTTTGGGTGCAGATGGACGGGTCAGGGTCAGTTCGAGAACAGCTGGCCGTAATCAGCGTTCATAACCGGGTCAAGCTAAACGCCCTGACTCTGCGGAGCTGTGTCACGATGAAACGCCGAAATAACGCTCGTTTTGGTCTGTGGCCTGTAAAGATGGCGCCGAGCGACGTAAACGTCACACGCAGTGACGTCGCTTCCATTGGAACGAGAAACTGATTTACTGATTAACAATCGATTCTGTAGATTTAGCATTTTAGAGCGAAATCTACAGAAAAATAAAACTTCAAAAAAATATACAACTTTATTTCAAAAGTGAAGCAAAAGATCCCGACATCCTGGAGGGACCGGACCAGTACTGGTTCTGAACCTGGACCCGGTTCTGGTTCTGACTCACATGTCCAGCAGGCGGCGGCGGTTCTCCGCATGGCGTAGGCCGGCTGTGTGATGGTTCCACTCCTGCAGGCAGAGAGAATGTCGTTAGCATCAGAACCCAGATCAGACGGGCCAGAACCTCTGAACAGAACCGGGTCATGAGAAGAACCCAGAGCAGCAGGATGGTTCTGCTGTGGGTTCTGGAGGAAAAGCCGATCGTGGTTCCGTCGGTCCGGATCCTGGCAGAACAAGAGGCTGAGGCGAAGCTGCCACTCAGACCGGGCCGGACCAGAACCTGGAGCGACCGGCGCTAACTGGGATGAAGGAGCCCAGAGCGGATGAAGTTACCTGGAGCTGCAGCCCCTGGAAACACGGGGGGAGACCCCGCGGCACACATTAACAGTTAGAGAAGCAGCGGGCGTACTCACCATGGAGGAATGAACGTCAAAGTCACAAAGAGCGCACACATGGGGGAACATGGGGGGCGCGACCCCCAGGAAGTCCTGGATCTTCCCGCTGGAAGGCGAACCCATCCTCCTCTGCATGAACAGAGGGTCTGACGACGCCCCTGCCGTAGCCAGACCCTGACCCGGAGCCGTAGCCGTCCCGCATGGAGCCGAAGCCAAAGTCTCCGGAGGACTGGTTCCGAGACGGACCCGGAGACGGGTCCCAACCGTCCCGTCCTCCGCGGAAAGCTGCTTCTGAGGCTGCCGCCCCACGCTCTCCTGCCGCCCCCTTGCGGCTCTTCAGCTGCATCAGGATGCGGGGCAATGTTTCCATGGTGATGTCCTCATCAGGGATCTGGGCTAGCGCGTCCAGGTCAGAGGGCGACAGGCCCAGACTGGAGAACAGCTTCATGTGGCGCCCAAGAGGCCCATCGCCGCGCCGGTCATCTGGCCACCGCCGCCATCCAGGCCCTCCATCCCGCCATCCCAACACCCGGAGCCCCGCCCCCCATCTGGCGGCCGGGTGCCTGCTCGGCCATGTTAAAGTTGAGCCCCCCCCCACGGAGTACGGGGTCTGGGCTCCGTCGGCCTGCTGAGCCATGACCTCAAGCCAAGCGGCCAAAAGGCTGAAACTCCTCTTCTCCGGAAGAAGCTCGATGTTCTGCTGAGACACAACGAAGCAGAGACAACCTTCAGAAAGACCCAGAGACCGACTGGGGGCCGACGCTCCGGCGCCAAGGTCAAGAGTTTAACCAGAGCCAAGGTCAAACCCTGCAGACAGCAGCTGCAGCGCCGATCGGCGCGTCTTCAGCATCGACTCAGCGCTAACCGGCTGGAAATGTCTAGAATACTGAAAACTCCTGCTCCCATCTGGCAGTTCCTGGATCACCTGACCCAGCTCTACAGAACCACAGTTACAGCTCAGAGATTCAAGACACACGAGAAAACATCAAGAAATTCAAACTGAGAATCTAAACATGTCGTAATCCTAAAGTCACAGAAAAACAAGCAAGCAGGAGGAATAACCCTGGCTGGTTCCACTGGACCGGACTCAGGGCGCCTCTAACCGGCTCTGTACCAGTTTGGTCCTGGCCAGATTCACTTCCCATTAGCAGATCCTGCGCGGTTCTGCCTGGCTGTACACAGACCGTGGTTCCTGCTTCAGGGGTAGCGCCATCTGCACCGAGGCAATTTGATTGGCTTCTGGCCGCATTCGCTGATTGGCTCGTGATTTACGTCACTGCAAGCTGCAGCATTTAGCTGCAGCATTTAGCTGCAGCATTTAGCTGCAGCATTTAGCTGCAGCATTTAGCTGTGGGGACATGCTGCCATCTGCAGCCAAAGAATGAATTAGCTAGCCGCTAGGAAGACCAGACAGCAATGGAGAAACGCTGAAGCTGCTGTTTGAAAGACTAGAACTATATGTTATTAACTTGTGATGTCAATTTTATTTTTCCATCGATTTAAAAAGAAAATAAAGTTCTTGAGTGGCTATTGGTTTACATCATTTGACCACGTTACCTAAATTGTAAAGGTTGTATGTTAAAAAAAATTCAGTGGCAGAAAGTAATTATCTTTATACGTTTTGTGAAATTATCAGCTGATCCAGGTCTTATCATTATCTCTGGGCCAGAAATGCATTTCTACAAGGTAAAGTAAAACATCTGGATTTATTTGGGTCAATCAAAACCAAAAGGTTCTTCACTCCGGAGAGAAGGCAGAGCCAACCCCAGCTGCCACTGCTCACTGCCCGCCCACTACCTGGGGTAGGACCAGACCAAACCGGACCGGACATTAACCGTTAGAGGACGACCTGCCGGTGGAAAAACTAAACCTGGGGACTCTGGAACATCTCCAGCAGCGTTTTGAAGGAGAAAGTTAAAAAACTCCTGCTGCTCCAGTCAGGATCACAGGTTGAGACATAAAGCTGCTGCTGTTATTATTATTGTTGTTATTATTATTATTATCATAGAACTCTAACACAACTGGCTTGGTTCTGGTTCTGGCCTGAGGACTGGTAACCAGACTCCAACAGAACCAAAAGTCTTTGGGTCAATCTGACCCTTTGACCTATTTGCTGCCAGTTCTCCATGTCCATAAACCTTTGTACATCCTCTCTGTTAATACTCACCATTTAAATGAAAATATATCAGTAGAGATAAAAATAAATACTCCAGTCTGTAACTAAGGCTGATATTAATACTGCAGCCAGGAAATCACAATCCAATCCATACAGCTTTTTTAACTCTGTTTACCCAAACTGCTATACAGTAGAAGCAGATAAAAACGTACAACAAACAAAATACAATGTACTAAAAAGAATACAAATGTATAAAATAAAAGCGTTGCGTAAAAAGCCATTGAAAAGCAATGAGACAGCAACAGAAGAGACGCTTGTCTAATATACACTGGCAACAATATAGAAACTTACATTCAATAATCGGTGGATAAAACCGTTTTCATAAATCAGCTCTGGAATCCAGATGTGTTCATTTTAAGGTGCATAAAGTCTGACAGTCTTCCATAAATCCGCGTCAGAAAGCAAATCTGATTGGTTTAAGCTGACCGTTAGCTTCATGCTAAGATAACGTCCGGAAAACATAACAGCAAATAAAAACAATGTATAAGTCATAGATTCATTTCTTCTTAAATTACATAAAATCTAAACACTTCAGCGAACAGTGGAACAAAATTTAAAACAAAATTAAATAAAACTGGTCTAAAAGTTTAGCTTCAGTAACAGAAGCTAATGTTAGCTTTGGACGCTAACACGAGGCATTATTACCCGCTTTTGGGCAAAAAGAATCCTTTCTAAAAACCAGAACCCAATGGTTTCGTGTCAATACCGCTTCGTTGTCATTGCAGCAGAAACACAGTAAATGCATGCCCTTTATGGATTTATCAACTTACCGCAAATTGTCCAGAAAAGACCCCGATTAGCCGCGGCTGATGCTACTTCTTCTTCGCTTTTGGCGTTACACCACTTCCGGTTAGCGCCCCTGCTGGAGTCTTCCCTCAACGACCTTTTCTCCTTTCTCCTTTAAGGATGCTAGGATTTTCTTAAAACAGTCTAAACCTGTTCCTATTCTTAATCAGAAGCCGTTGACTTTGGCACCGAGCGGTTCTTTTTACATCGTTCGCATCATGGTTCCCCTAGTGGATCTCACCAGTTCTTCAAGGTGTTCGGGTCCCGGCTGTTGCGCTGTTTGAAACGGTGTCCCAATCTCGCCCACCCGCCGCACCATTTGTCTTTCGGGAGGTGAAATAGTGCGGAGCCGTTGTATTGACCTACTTCTGCCGTGGCGTTTGCCAGCACCAGTTAGGGTTTGAATCTGAGGTTGTAGGCTCATTCATCCCACAGTTTCCTGCCTCATGTATCACCGAAACAGTCTCAGATATATTTTAACACGTCGAGAAGATTTGATCTGGTCGATAAATATTTAAATGTTCTCTTCTAACTTATTATCATGAACTCCATATTCTATTTCCTACTAGACCAAACGGACCATGAAGGCAGCATGCTCCTCCAGCCAATCAGAAGGCAACCATCAGTGACGCAGAAGATGTAACAAACAGAAGCTAAGCAGCCATTTCGGTTCCGGAGGAGTTTTTCCTGCTCTTTGGGCGTTGGGGAATTTTAGCGTCGAATAAATTATTTTTGCTGGGTGTTAAAAGGTAAGAAGCGCAGTTAGTGGCGGTTCTGACCTGGTTCTGGTTCTGTGTTCTGATGCGAGCTGTGTGGCTCCGCTGCTCCTAGTGAGTCAGCGGCCCTCACGGCCAGCCTGGCCGCCCTGAGCGGCCTGACTAACGGCCACCTCTTTCACCCCGACCGCAGAGACATGAAGGACCCGACCATCGGAACCACATCCACCCCCACCGGTGCCGGAGAGGTCGTCCTCAGCAGCCAGTTCGGTTCCGAGGAGGATCCGTTTGCGGAGTACATGTGGATGGAGAACGAGGAGGAGTTCAACAGACAGGTGAGTAACTGGACCCGCTGTTTAAACCGGCGGTGTCGGTTCCGGTTCCGAGTCGGTACAGTTAGCTGGTTCAGGTTCTGAAGGAATTTGGTAGCGCCAGCAGCCTTCCTCGTGTTAAATCCGATCCAGAACCGTCTAGTCTTGGGTTCTGGTCCCGCCAGAACCTCCTGGACTCCAGAGGTTCCTAGTTTTTCCTCACCGTTCTTGATGAATCTAACGGATTCGATCCACATCCAGAACCCAACCCAGTCACCATGGTAGGGTTCTGGAGACATGCACCAATATATATATATATATATATATATATATATATATATATATATAATTATTCCCTTCTCACCCACCGCGGGTGGTTCTTATCCTCTGAACTCGGGTCCTCTACCAGAGGCCTGGGAGCTTGAGGGTCCTGCAGTATCTTGGCTGTGCCAAGGACTGCTGCACATTTCTGGACTGAGATGTCTGATGTTGTTCCTGGGATCTGTTGTAGCCACTGCTCCAGTTTGGGGGTTACTGCCCCGAGGGCCCCGATGACCACAGGCACCACTGTGGTCTTCACCTTCCAGGCCCTCTCCAGTTCTTCCCTGAGGCCCTGGTATTTCTCCAGTTTCTCCTTTTTCCTGATGTTGCAATCACTTGGTATTGCTACATCTACCACAACGGCTTTCCTCTGATGTTTATCCACTACGACAATGTCTGGTTGGTTCGCCATTACCATTTTGTCTGTCTGGATCTGGAAGTCCCACAGGATCTTAGCTCTGGCGTTCTCCACCACATTTGGGGGTGTTTCTCACTTTGATCTCGGGGTTTCCAGTCCATATTCTGCACAGATGTTTTTGTACACTATGCCTGCCACTTGGTTATGTCGCTCCATGTACGCTTTCCCTGCCAGTATCTTGCACCCTGCTGTGATGTGCTGGACTGTCTCAGGGGCCTCCTTGCACAACCTACACCTTGGGTCTTGTCTGGTGTGGTAGATCTGGGCCTCTATTGCTCTGGGTGTTTAGGGCCTGTTCCTGGGCGGCCAGGATGAGGGCCTCTGTGCTGTCCTTGAGACCAGCTTTTTCCAGCCATTGGTAGGATTTACTGATATCAGCCACTTGGGTTATTTGCTGGTGGTACATCCCATGTAGGGGTTTGTCCTCCCATGATGGTATCTCTGGCACCTCGACCTCCGTTCCCTGTTGTCTGAGACATTCACTGAGCACATTGTCTGTTGAGGCTTTGTCTCTGATGTATTTATGGATCTTAGTTGTTTCGTCCTGGACAGTGGTTCTCACACTCACTAGTCCTCTGCCTCCGTCCTTGCGGCTCGTGTACAGTCTCAGGGTGCTGGATTTGGGATGGAACCCTCCATGCATGGTTAGTAGCTTTCTGGTCTTATATATATATATATATATATATATATATATATATATATATATATATATATATATATATATATATATATATACATATATATAGCTGTTATGGCCGATATTTTGTGTGCCAGATCTTTCTCCCACAATCCTTTGCTGCATCATTTGAAGATAACTGATGCATAACGAAGCATTGACCCAGTTCCATTTAAAGACCTGGTTCTGGTTCTGGTTAAAGATCCTGAAGTCAATGAAGTCAGATTTACTTTATTTATGTTTGTTTAACTTGACAACTTGAAAAACGTAATAAAAGAAGTGGGATAAACCTGGATGAACTAATTAACTCAATATATTTCAGTTGGATCAACCGGTTAGTTTTAGTTTGTTAGTCGGTTCAGGGTGGGGATATTTTACAATCATTGAATCTGAAGAATAGAAACCAGGAGCTCTGAACACAGTCTCTCTGCCTGCCTGGTTCTGATGGGTTCTGATGGGTTCTGATGGGTTCTGACTGGTCCCGGCCCAGGTGGAGGAGGAGCTGTGGGAGGAGGAGTTTATGGAGCGCTGCTTCCAGCAGATGCTGGATGAGGAAGAGCAGTGGGAGTGGTTCATCCCGTCCAGAGACCTCCCCCCCGGCGGCGTGGCTCAGCTGCAGGACCAGATCAGCCTGCTGGTTCTGGACCGGACGTTCGCCCCGACGCCTCCGACCTGGAAGTGGTGGTGAGTTGAGCCAATCGGGAGCTGAGAACGCCTCGGGAGCTCGACTCCTCTTCCTCCTCTTCCTCCTGCAGGTGAGGAGCAGCCTGAATCCAAACGCCAAGGAGTTCACTCCAGGGATCCAGAAACACAACCTGTGACCCCTTAGCCCCGCCCCTTCCTCCCCAGCCTGCTCTGTGACATCATCAGCAGGAAGTCCACCGTTCTCCAGCCGCAGCTCGGACCTTCAGCCTCACGTGTTGCCAAAGTTCTCCTGTCGCCTCACATCTCTTCTCACCATGTTTGCTGCATCCCCTGGGGTCACCTGTCTGTCTGTCTGTCTGTCTGTCTGTCTGTCTGTCTGTCTGTCTGTCTGTCTGTCTGTCTGTCTGTCTGAGGAAACTCTCTGAATGTAAATCAGCTCCTTCCTGTTTCTCTCACCTGTTCTGCCCTGAACCTTTGGAACCCAGTCCAGGTTCTGTCCTGACTCTCCTCACCTGACCAGGGGTGATGCAGTCTGGTCCAATCAGAGTCCCACCTGGTTCTGTCAGTCTTTCCTCTCGTTTTTTCCCAGAATCCTTTGTGTTGCTCAGCTGCTTTACTTCCTGACGTCTTTAAACTTTTTCTAATGTTCTGTAAAAAAAAAAAAAAAAAAAAAAGTCTGATAAAGAAAAACATGTAAAAAAAATCTATTTTTTCTTAAGGTAGTGATGAAATTAAATGTTTATTGAGGAAAAGAGGCTTGGTCTGGTTCTGTCTGCCGGTTCTGTCCAGAGCCCAAAATGATTAGATGTTGATTAAACAAACATCAGTTGTTCGGGGAAAATAATGAGTGCAGCTTTCAGTGCTGTCCAGCAGAGGGCGCTGTTGTCTATGGTTTCTCCCACTGTCTTCACTCTGGATGATTCTCCTCAGGAAGCTGCAGATGGACCTGGACCTTCAGAACCAGCTCTGGTTCACCGGGTCTCAGTGGGATCAGATGAACTTATGGTTCTGAAAAAAAGCTTTTGTTCCAGGAGGAGATACAAGAACAGTAAGAACATACAAAGCATCACAAAGACTGAGTCTGCAAACTCAGTAAGTTATCTGGACTAAAACATGGCAAAAACAGTAAAAAAAAAAAAAAAAAGCTCCGTCTCGCGAGTTTCTGTTTCTAAACAATCTCATGCTTAAAGACTATTGTTAAAATTATGCTAAAATTTATTAGCCTGCCAACAAAGCTATGCCAGTCCAAAATAGCACCTCAATGCTATTCAGGTACTGTTAGCTAATGCTAATGTTAGCATCTGCAGTCCAGATTTCTGAAGATCTATGAAGGATAGAAAAACACTTTGCTCCAATGTGTTGATTATTTTGTCGAGTCACAGTTTCTTATCAAGATGTGATTAATTAACTACACATCCTGAAATGAACTTGATAAAATATTTCAATCTAGTCCCACTACTAGTTTCTAGTTTGAGGTGTGAGACAGCGAGCGCATCCCCAGCAGGGGGCAGCAGAGTGTCAGAGCTGATCAAGAATGCAGATTTTTCTGAGGAGCCAGAGGAAGAAGCTGTTTGTGTGAGAGAAGAACCAGGCTGCAGCTAACAGGAAGGGCGACAGGCCACTGTTAGTCAGACCTTATATGGAAATGGGACCATTACACTCCAGAAGTGAAGGAGACACTATTTCCGATATCATCCTCCTGTTTTTATTTTCCTTTAAAATCTGATTTATTTTCACCTTCAGGAAAGATTTTCACTCTCAGCTTGTATTTGATCTTCTCTCTATTATTTACTTCAGCTCAGTTTTTAACTAATTCTGTAGCTTCCTGTGTTCTTCTAAATCTACTCCTGAGTTGCATCTTTTCAGGCCTGATACTGCCTCTAGTGGCGTGGAGTGGTAACACAACTAATCTACTTACAAACAGCGCCCCCTTCACTTCCAGAGTGCAATGGTCCCATTTCCACATAAGGTCTGAGACTGACAGCGGTCCATCCCACCCCTTCCTGCTTGCTGCAGCAGGTTTAGTTGCATTTTTCAGCTGCGGGCCAGCAGCCGCATTCTGATGAGGGGCGAGATCTCTGGGGCTCTGCAAGCAGCTGATTGGTCAGAGGGAGATGTTGGAGAATGTACTCAAAGAAGGGCAGGTCATGACTCTGACCCCGGCGCCTCCCCGCTGCATCTCATCATCTTCATCACCACCATGGTCATCATCAGGTCCAGAACCAGCAGGAAGTTCAGATCTCCGTGGAGACCTGGTTCTGGTTCTGATCAGCAATTCTCCCTGCAGAAACAGCAGGTGGAGAGCTGGACAGAGGCAGAGACTCACCAGTCTTCATGGAAACATTGTTATTAAAAATGATTATTATATTCCAATTTGCACTCTGTGGTTTTTACTATAAAGTATTTATTTTATATTTAACTGAACCAATTTTGATTAATGTTTCTTTAAAATTGCTGAATTTCTGCATATTTTCATTAAAATGCTCATAAGTGCAGCAGGTGATGCAGCAGGTGATGCTGCAGGTGATGCAGCAGGTGATGCAGCAGTGAGCCAAGCCTCACCTGGACAGATCAGCGTCTCACTAACTGCTGTTGGACACTTGAACAAAAGTAATGTAGAGACATGTGATGGTTGGAAATTTTCTTTTCTTTCCTTTTCATCTGAAAATTCAAACAACATTCATAAATCCGACATGCGTCACACTTTGGCTGCTATGTTCCACTGAGCTTAGTTCTTCAACACAGAAGCTTAGGACCCCAGGCTGCCCTCAGCGCCTGTTCAAAACTCGTCCCTTTCTAAACTCATTTCACTGTCAGCCCCAAGAAATACCAACATATCAATGAACGTTCAGCTTAACATGGACAATCAAACATGGTGCTTTTAAACAACAAAACAAAATATTCATAGGAAAAAGAATAGAATCATATTTTAATGGAAGGGGCTCCTTGATCCGAAGTCTCCAGCAACTGGTGTTGTTCAGATAGCAGCTCCTCCTGTCTGAACGGCGCCAATTAAATGGCTAAAAAACATTTAATGTATCAACTGATTTTACATCATTTAGCTCATGTATATAATGTACACTGATCTTGTCACCAACTGTGTGTGCAACGTGTTTCGTGCTCAGCAGCGATCAGAAACCGGAGAACTGGAGGTGAGGCAGGCAGTTCTCTGGCCTCATGGCAGGGGGCGCTCATGATCCCAGACACTGACACTCCACACTGCAGAGGAAGAGACAGTAAGTCTTCTTGACTTTATTTCAAACAAATAACAGGGACATACAAACAGATGTTAACTCAAAGACAAATATTTAAATATTGTAATAATAAAAACAAATAAAAGTAATTACATTCAATGAGGGTGTTGATGTTAAGGTCTAGAAAGGCAAAAGTTAAATAAATATATATACATTGATTAAATGAAATGATGTGTACTTTTTCATTTAGGTTTTCATAACAAAAAGTGTTAAAAGCATATTCAAATACATTTGAAGAAGAGTATATTACAGCAAACAGCACAACAAAAGCAAAAAAAAAAAGAACAGCGGGATCTGCTTATGAGATAAAGTTACATTTTTGGAGAAGAGTTCAAGTTTTTACCAGTTTCTTATTATTAAAGTTAAGTTTTCCGACAAAGCCAATATACATTTTTAAGTCAGTTTTTTGAAAATTATTAAAAGGGGATTTTTTTCACTTCATTTCATCTTGTGGACATAATATTTTGCTAGGATTATAATAAGATTCACTATATATATTTCATCTAAAGAAAAAGTTGAATTGTTAAAACTGAGTAAAATTTGTAAATTTGATAAAAGAATATTTTTTCTGAAAGGAGCTTTTTGCAAATCCGACCAAAATATTGCAGCTGAGAACATTCTACAAATAAACGATCAATAATTTCACCTTCACACTGACAACAAGAGCAGCTGTTGCTGCGGCAAATATTATTTTTACTGGGTAGTATGTATGTAAAATACATCCATCCATTTCTGATCACCTCCTCCCTAACGGGGTCGGGAGGAGCTGCTGACTCTCCAGCTGCGTGGCGGGCGAGAGACGGGTCACCTGGACACCTGAACGGGTCACCTGGACACCTGGACGGGTCACCTGGACACATGGACAGGTCACCTGGACGGGTCGCCAGTCTGTCGCAGGGCAACGCAGAGACAAACAGGACAAACTACCACACACACACACACACACACACACACACACACACACACAGACACACCTAGGGAGAATTTGGAAAGACCAATCAACCTAACTGTGATGTTTTTGGACTGTGGGAGGAACCCGGAGAACCCGGAGAACCCGGAGAGAACCCACCACGCACAGAGAGAACATGCAGATTCTGTTCAGAAAGACCCCGGGCCGGGAATCGAACCCAGAACCTTCTTGCTGCAAGGCAACAGCGCTACCCACTGCTCCACTGTGCTGCCCCCTGTAGGTAAAATCTTAATATATTCATGAGGCAATAAAACGTCCCCTTCCGGAGGAGGACGAGCCCGGGTCTCCTGGAGGGACGATGATCCCGCCTGGCTCCTCTGGGAACGCCTCGGCATTCCCAGAGGAGCTGGAGCAAGAGGCTGGCAGCAGGAAGCCTCCTTTCTGAAGACGCTGACCCCGTGACCCCGACCCGGATAAGCTGAAGAAAATGGATGAATGGAAAAATTTTGCACTCCACAATGTTTTGCTCAAATAATCTGATCTATGTTTACTTATGGGAGTGGAGAAAGTTGTGATAAACCCGTTTGTAAATTTCTTATTGATTATTTTAGTGCCTTCAGTTGAAGTTGAGTCGTGAAGGTTTGGATGTTTGGTTTGAGCTCAACAGAGCAGCTTTAATGAGCACTTCACATTCTGTGTGAGAAATCTCTATGTCATTGTTGTTCATAAAATGCTCAGAGGTAAATCACTCACCTTTACTGGCGAGCAAATCAATATTATTATTATTATAATGATTTGTTTTTATGTCAGCATTGTTCCATATGATGCAGCAATGAGGACAGAAGTTGTTTTATAAAAAAGATCCAACATCACAGAACCTGCTGAGGAAGTTTGACTGGAAGTTTTCCAACTGAGAAAACGCAATAAAAAATGAGACGCTCCGGTTTACTGAACCCAGGACTTGGGAAAATATTCCACATGGAATTTGGATTGTTTGGAAATCTTTTCGTCAAATTCATTTTTGACATTTGATTAAAGACAGTAAAAGTCAAAACATTTAAACCTCCTTCAGCTAAAGAGTTTACAGTTTTTATTTTATGGGACTTATTTTTCCACATAAACTTGAAGAGACGTTTATCCGGATGAGAACAGAACGACTCTAACATGCGAAAAGTTGTTGCTCTTACATTTCTTTTTAATATCTTCACATACAGGACTATCATTAATAGCGATGTGATAGTGGTCAGTGGAGATTCAAACTCTCGGTAAGTCAGTTGTTATATACACGGTTCAGTAGCAGCATGTGTATATTGTTGTATATAATGGAAAGATTTCACATTTTTTGAGATTGAGTTTCATCCTGAAATGCTGGAGAATTTAACTATAAGCTGCAGGAACGTCACTGACTTTCTTTAAATACTGTAGTATCACCAGCAAGTTGTACATTTTTAATTTCTTGATCAAATATGTTAATTCCCTCAAATGAGCTCTGTCTGATTAAATGATTTAGAATTTGGCCAACAAGCAGAAAAATGTAAGGTGAGGCCAGACGTCCCTGAAAAGCCTTTATTGATTTGAAATCGGCTAGATGTGCCATATAGAAGTTTTATAGAACTGGCTGTTCTTATAAAGCGTCTAAAAGGTTTTAATGAAAATGTCCCAAAGTTAAAAAAGGACAATGTGTCAAAAACAAAGTTGTGACTGACTGAACCAAAGGCCTGTTGATCATCTAGAAACAGAATAATCGGCTTCAGATCTTTATAATCAACTAAATCTGAAAACTAATCGAGTCAGAAATGTTGCGTCCATTTTGAGATTCATGTATAAAATCATTTAAACCATTTTTCAGTCTTTAGCTAAAATGGAGGCCAAAGTTTGATAGACATTATTTCATAGAGTGAAGGTTATTTATTATTAAATGGTCTTATTCACTGTTAACGGATTCGTTAGAAACTGCTAGAAGAAATTCGGCGGTTTCATTGTGATAATTGTTGGATGTGAGCGTCAGCGGTCACGATCGGCTGCTGACTGGTTCGGTTTAAGGTTTCTGATGATTTTATCTCCTCAGTTTTTCATCACAGTCGTCTTTTAAAGAGTCATTGGCTTTGTTCACATCCCTCGACGATAAGTCTCTACCATCTGCAGTTATCATTTTTAGAAAGATTTTTATGAACATTTGTTCTATATTTTGAAATTACTGAATCTTCTACTACATAATTATTTATATCTAATTTAGATAATGACTTTCTTTCAGCTTCTCTTTTCCATGTTGCCTTTTTTTCGCCCTCTTCAACCCATTTTCATCTCCACTGAATAAAAACGTTTTTCTTTTTTTATTTCATCTAATTCCTCTTGATGTTTCTGTAGTTTTTACTTCATCGTCTAACATGTTAGTAAGAATGTCTGAGTTTATTTATTTGCTCAATTGGATTGCATACCTTCTAATTTCATACTTCAGTAATTCCCAATATTTTCCAAATTGGTTATTATCTTGAGTGACTGTCCAGTTCTGTTTGATTAGTTATTGAACAAATGATGTAAGTTCTGTAGTTTAATAATGATTTGTGAACTTTCCAGTGGTTATACACTCTTCTACTCTCCTTATTAGAAAGATTTACTTTTAAACAAATGATTTTGTGATCAGTTAAAACCGCAGGGCAAATTGTACCTGCATTAGTCGACTCTCCATATCCTCTGAAATGAGCCAGAAGTCAATTCTAGATTGAGTTGCAAAGCTTTTGTTACTCCAGGTGAATTTTGTATCAGCAGGATGATGATGTCTCCAAATATCTAATAAATTTAGCCAATTGGAGAAGTCCAAAAGACGGTTCTGTCCATTTCTAAATCTGGAGGGACGTCTGTCCAGTTGAGTGGAAAAACTATTTTACATCATTACGCAGACTCTGGTATTAACAGATAAAAATAATAGCTCTGGGCTTTATGAAAGTTAAAGTAATTTCATCAAATGTCACCCATTTAAGATGAGTCCTAAAATAAAATAATAATGATAATGTTTACTGCTGAGTAAAAGATACTATTCTCCAGAATCCCTTTGAATTTCTTTCCATCCACAGAAGCTTTCTGTCCCATGAGGTTGTCCCTCTTCCCATCCGTGGATCCTGCTCAACGATTGGCCAGAGCAGACCTGGCTTCCTTGTCTTCCTTGGATAAATCTTCAACGAAACCAACTTTGTTCTCTCTCAGGTCGATGTTGTTTTTCGCACCTCCAGATGACGTCCCTCACTGAACGCGAAGCAAACAGGATATAGATGGCTCTGCTCTGACAGTCCATTCGTTTCCCAGCCGATGAGTCACGTCGATTCCTTCAGCTGCTTTTGATCCGAGATCAGGTGCAATTTGTGACGGATGGCTGCAACCTTCTCTTTCAGCTCTTCATTCTCCTGTTCAGCCAGTCCCTAGAGCTGGAGGCATCATCTCCGCTTGCAGCGCTCTGCATCTGCAGCATGTTCCTGCTGCTCTTCTATTTGCGCCTCCAATTCTGCAGTTTGATTCTTCAGTTCTCATTTTTTAGGTCTTCAATTCAGGCATACATGAACTCAATAGATATTTTAATATCCTTGATGTCAACCTTGACCTCATCCGCTCTGTCCTTTACCATTCTTAAGATGGCGTGTTGAGGGTTGAGGCTCATCGCCGCAGGATGAGCCACGGAGCTAGCCACAGTTAGCCACAGAGTTAGCCATGGAGCTAGCCACAGTTATCCAGGGAGCAAGCCACGGAGCTACCCCCAGAGTTAGCCATGGAGCTAGCCACCAAGTTAGCCAGGGAGCTAGTCACAGTTAGCCATGGAGCTAGCCAAAGTTAGCCACGGAGCTAGCCACAGTTATCCAGGGAGTAAGCCACGGAGCTACCCCCAGAGTTAGCCATGGAGCTAGCCACCAAGTTAGCCAGGTAGCTAGCCACCGAGTTAGCCACGGAGCTAGCCACAGAGTTAGCCACAGAGTTAGCCATGGAGCTAGCCGCAGAGTTAGCCATGGAGCTAGCCACCGAGTTAGCCATGGAGCTAGCCACAGAGTTAGCCATCGAGCTAGCCACAGAGTTAGCCATGGAGCTAGCCACCAAGTTAGCCACAGAGCTAGCCACAATGTTAGCCACGGAGCTAGCCACAGAGTAAGCCATGGGACTAGCCACAGAGTTAGCCGTGGAGCTAGCCACAGAGTTAGCCATGGAGCTAGCCACAGAGTTAGCCACGGAGCTAACAAGAGAGTTAGCCATGGCGCTAGCAAAGGAGCTAGCCACCAAGTTAGCCACCTAGCTAGCCACAGAGTAAGCCATGTAGCTAGCCATGTAGCTAACCAGCAGATCATACTGATCTGCTGGTTTATTGGCGTTTAGATTGATCCAGACTGATCATCCTGGAGCTCTAAGCAGAACTTAAAGCAGGTACCGGTACCGGTACCGGTGTCTTTAAACCCCGGGCTGAACGCGCTGCTGCTCAAACAGGCCTCTGTACTTAAATCTCTTTAGTTTATTTTTATTATATGGGTTTTTCTTCTTTAAAATCTATTATTTTGATTTTTGATTGTAAGGTGACCTTATGTGCCCTGAAAGCAACTTTTAAATAAAATATATAATTATTATTATTAGAAATACTTATAACGCTACAAACAAGGACGTTGCCTTGTTACGTCTTCACGCGGCGGCAGACCTCTGGGTTTTTACATCAATTTACATTAAGATGTTCTTATGGAGGCGACAGGCGGAGCAGCAGCTGCTCCGTTTCAACCAATCAAATTTGATTTCTGCAGCTTTACATCCTAACAAACATAAAAACACAGAGTCATGCAACATAGAATCAACAATCAAAACATGACATTAAGTCAAGTTCCTTCATTAAGTGAATAATTGATTACGTTTCAAATCAAACTAAACAGCTGGTTTTTAGTGGAGATTTAAAGGAAGTCAGGGTTTCTGCTGTTTTACAGTTTTCTGGAAGTTTGTTCCACATCTGTGGTGCACAGATGCTGAAGGCTGCTTCTCCTCGTTTGATTCTGGTTCTGATGCAGAGCAGAACCAGAACCAGAACCTGAGAGGTCTGGCAGGTTGATACAACAGCAGCAGATCTTTAAACCGTTGAGCGATTTTAAAGTATTTTAAAGTCTATTCTTTGAGCTACAGGGATTTAAAACTGGTCTTCTGTTCTCTATCTTCCTGGTTTTAGTCAGAACTTCAGCAGCAGCTTCTAGATCAGCTGCAGACCCAAATCAGGTATGATGTATAAAGCAGCGCGGCTTTAAACATGCAGATTGTTTTGTACATCACACTTTTCTAAATTTGTCTGTCTGGCAAGTTTTAGTGTGAAAACTACGCAGTTTGATACATGGGGCCCCCGGTTGTTGAAGGGTTATTACTGTCCAATGTTCTCATCAAGCTTTCTGGTAAAAGCTATTTGGTCAGTGCTACATCACTAGCATTGAAACATTAGCATTAGCCCTCGGCGAGGATAATCACTGAATTACAGAGAATTAACAGCAATCATAAAAAATAAAGATTTAAATTCAAACTTCAAATTGATCCGATGTCTAAAGAAAACTGTGAAGATTTATAAACAGTCACCTAAACTGGATCTGATAAATGTTGGATTACAATAACGAAGCATCTGTACTAATCCAATCAGCAACTCCTAGTAAGTTAGGTGAGAAAATAAGAGAGCTAAAATACTTTATGATTCACTAAACTAAACAGTTTTCTGGGAAAATTTGACTCCTTTAAAATCTCTGAAACTAACTTTATGCAAAAACCCCAAATATGTGGCAAATTTTCCCAATGACTTTAATAGCTGTTATCTTATTGATTATGACTGTTTAAGGATTGAGGGAGATTTCAACATCCATCCTGTCAAGCTGAAGACAGAGGGGCAAAAAGCTGAGCTATTGCTGCTAGCTTTGCCTCGACTCAACATGCGGGGCAGGAAACACACATGAGGACTCTGGAGCGGATCAGCAGTCAGGCTGCCAATATTATTAATATCTCTGTTGATGTCGTTCCCTCTCATCATTTCTCTGTCAACGCTGAAAGTTCAATCTGCTGAATCACGAAGCAAAGCATTTATGACAAAATATTTCCTGGAAAACTCGGCAGAAACTTCAAATCTCTCTGTGCTGTAAGTCAGAAGATGAGCTGGCCGATCATTTTCAACATACATTTCAGATACCATTTCAGGTTCCATTGAAGTGAAGATTGTGTGGAAGGAAGAAATCTCTGTGGAGAAATGCTCTACTGGTGAGAAGTGATTGAAGCCTTGGAGAATGCTGAATGTAAATGGCGTAAAACGTCACTTCATATTTATTATGAAACCAAACGTTCTTTGGTTGAATCATAAACAAAAACATCAACGTTGCCTGTATCTTGTTTACCGCTGTTGACAGGTTAAGCAACCTTCCTTTGACTGAGCCACTGGATCTAACGGCACCTGCAGCGGACCTGAAACCTTCTTCTCTGAGAAAATGGAAAAGGATTTCAAGAACTCACTTGAAAACATAACAGACTTCAAACAAGCCAGTTTTAACTGGACCAGAATGCATCACTGCCCGAGTCCAACAGCAAGCAGCAGAAAGTAACATGTTAGCCTCGCTAAAGTTATGCTAACATCTTATTCTGCAGAATTTAAAAGCTCATGTATTGAAATCATTTTCATGATGCCAGCTGTAACATTTGCATGCTGGTATTCACATTTTTTTAACCCTCAGATTCAGTAGAAACCCAGAGGATTTTCTGAACACAAGGTGAGAAGGGTTAGGGTCGGGATTAGGGTTGGGGTTGGGATTGGGGTTAGGGTTGGGATTGGGGTTAGGGTTGGGATTAGGGTTGGGGTCAGGGTCAGGGTTGGGGTTAGAGAAGGTTCGTTGTGGCGAACCCAGAGCGCCTGCAACGCTATGGTTGGACATCAGAGTCAAACTTCATGTTTCCTCTCGGTTTCCTGCTTGTAATTATTGAACTGTTCCTTCAAAATGACGCCAAAATAAAAGCTCATAACATAACTAACCATCACTCTTCAGATCATATGAACAGAATCTGAAACTTGCTGCTGAAAGTCCAACAATCACCTCAGTGAACAGCAAACCAGAGCTCAGCATCACATGCTTTTACTTTGGAAATGTGCAGGAAGGAAAGTCTGATCGGAATAACGCATTTGTTTTCTGTCCTGAAGACGTTTAAAGCACAACTACAACTAAATAAGAGACATGCAGCTTCAGGGACGTGTCCCTCCTCCTCCTCCTCATCCTCATCCTCCTCCTCCTCCTCCTCCTCCTCCTGCAGCTTTCAGATGCTAACGAAGCAGACATATGGAGAGGAGGTGTCTCTGCTGCTGCCCTCCTAAAGATTCAGATTGTATGACAAATCACGTCCCGGACGGCTCGGCCTCCTCCCAGTCCTCCCAGTCCTCCCAGTCCCCCCCGGCCTCCACCACTCCCCCAGACGACGGCTTCATTAGCCTGAAAGAAGAGAGTTTTCACAGCTTTGTCAAGTCAAGACTCTCAGTCCTTGTGTGAGTCTCAATTGCTCCTTTGTTGCAGCAGAGCCCAGTTATTGCAGTGCAGACCATATGGCCTCCTCTGCTGCAGGACGCGTCTCCGTCCTCAGCCTGGAGACGGCCGGGGTCCTGTGACCAGGGTGTCCTGCTCCGCTAAGGGTCAGAGGTCGCTCCTCCGGGCCTGGTCCCGGTTCCTCAGGTTTGCCAGGTGATCAGGCTTCAGAGTTCAGCTGCTTCATTTTCCTTTTGAGTTTTTCAACAGCAGCATTTGGACTTGTTGGTTGTGATTGGTTTGTTTTTCATCCGACTTGCCTGTGATTGGCTGATGGTGCTTTGTGTTGCTTCATGTTTTGGTCTCACAAAGGCAGCGTCCCAGACCATCATACTGCCACCACCTTGTCTGGCTCTGGCCAGGATGTTCTGTTGGTTTCAGCACCTTCCAGAAAAGTCTTTTTTGTCTATTCAGTCCACAGAACATTTTCTGGATAAACAGCAGACGGGTCTTTGTGTTCTTGTGGGTCAGCAATGGTTCTGGTAAAAAAATAATCTGTTCCAATTGAGCAGACTGACCGTAAATCTGAACAACGTCTGGAAATGAGAATATGACGTGATGAAAGCAGTGGAGTCTGTGAACGCCTCACATCCCAACCCGCCGCTCCTGGTTTCGAACCCAACCAAACAGAACCGGGTCAGGAGCCGCAGTCAATGCTCCGCTAAAAGGCCGCTGATGTTAGCGGTTAACTTTCTACCAGCGCTGTAAGTTAAAGGAGGGTGACATGCTAATGCTGGCCAGCATGCTATCCTTAGCATGACTGTCAATATTTCAGCTAGCTTTAGCTTTTGGCTCATTTGACTTTGTAAGGTGGTGTGAGACCGAACCCGCAGGTCCAGATTTACCCACCGCCTGGAGAGTCACTGCTCCGGCTGACTGGAGTTAGCAGTTAACTACTGACTGCGAACTAGCTAACTGCTAACTGAGTTAGCTACTGATACTCATATTAATGAACCTGCTCTGTTCTGACCTGTTTCTGCTGTTAGCTTCAGGCTCCAGGATTCGCTCTGCGCTCCACAGGAAATGCTAAACTTCTAGTTTGTTTTGTGTCCTGAAAGTTTGCAGCATGAACAGCAGAAGCATCTCGATCTGATGTCCTCCTCCATGTCCTCCTCCATGTCCTCCTCTTCCTCCTCCTCCTCCTCTTCCTCAGCTCTGCACACAGACCGCGGTGATCAAATACAGTTTATTGTTCGTCTGTCGGCTGTTATCGATATGTTTCCGCCGCCGCTTCAGGAAGGTTTTAATGTAACGCAGCGGCTCCATCCGTCTTCCTTTCTCTGAGCGGCTGTTTGCTCAGCCTCGTAATTTACCTCCAGTTTGCCGACATTAGCGCCACAAAGGCCCGGCGCCATGGCAACGCCACGGCCAGAAAGGAACCGGAACCGAACCGGAGCGACCCGTCCTGGAGCCGGAACCGGGCCGGAACCGGGCCGGAACCGGGCCGGATGTTTTCACCTTAGAGGAAGAGATCCGAACGACGTTCAGAGGAAGGAAAGAACCCTTCGGGTCAGAACCGGTTCTTCGGTGAGTCAAACATTGATCCAGATTTTGAGGCGTTCCTCATGAAGAAATGGAGATCGATCAAATTATTGACAATATTGATACAGATCAATACTTCAGACTCAGGTTCTGATTTGATTTTTGAATCATATTTTCTCGGATCTGCCTCAGAAAATACTTTTATTTGCTCCTGAATGAACAATCCACACAATCTGCTCTCATCTTTGTCATTTCTCATCTTCATATTTTATAAAGTATTTTACAGAATCTGACACGTTTCTTCCAAAATCATTTTAAAATGATTCATTTGAAATCTGTTCATCACAAATGGATTAAATTCACAATCTGACAATTTGAGTGAAAATGAATCATTAGAATATTTCCATCTATTTACTATCATGCAGATGAAAGATCTGAGTTTATTCATAAAATCGACTTCATTAGCTTAGCAGACAAATGTTTGTTTTCATTTTTACAGCTTAACTTCAGTCAGAAATTATTTTTAGTTTTTATTTTCTCCTAAATGATTTACATTGTTGAAACTGAAAAACTTTATTTGTCACATTAAATATTTATTTTTTTCAACAATGTGGTTTTGGTTTGATGACGGACCAGATCCACGTTTCTGGTTCTGATTCTGGTTCTGGCTCTGGCCCTGATCCGGTTCCGGGTCAGAACCAGGACAGAAAAATGAGACTCTGGATCCTGAAGAACTGAAGGAAAACCCGGAGAACCAGACAGAGCGAGAATAATCCTGGACTGGATCAGGACTTCACAGTGAACTGATGATGGAACCATCATCATCCTCATCTTCATCACCTGCCATCTTGGTGAGGCCTTCCATGAGGGGGGGGTGCTGCTGTCAGATCGTTGGGCTGCAGGATTACCAGGCCGTTAATCAGAGGCTAAGCAGATTAAACTTCTTCCTTCAAATCAGATCACCCTCCACCAGCAGCCTGGGGCGTGTGTGTGTGTGTGTGTGTGTGTGTGTGTGTGTGTGTGTGTGTGTGTGTGTGTGTGTGTGTGTGTGTGTGTGTCGGGTGTTCATCTTACTTTCTCACATGTTTCACTTCATTAAAATTCAGTCACATCTCGTGTTGAGTTTTTAATCCCGTCAGAAAATCAGCCTGAACAGGAACAAACAAATCCCTCCCTCTCTACACACACACACACACACACACACACACACACACACACACACACACACACACATATATATGTGTATATATATATATACATACAAATGTATAACGATGGAGAGCAAAAAGAATAACTCCAATAACTCAGTCAAACATGAACATGTCGATATTATTAATTTTATTCTGAGAAATCCATTGTAGAGCCATTTATACTTTCTTGTTTTTATCCCACCAGGTTATTTAAGGTCAATCATGATTGACCTTAAATAACCTGTTGTTTTTAAAGAGAAGAGGAAACCGTTTTCTTCTGTGCGTGGTTTAGGTTTGATATCGAGTTTGTGTGGATTTCTATGACAATAGTAAAACAGTGGAAAACGTTTGAATAATAAATGATTTCATGATAAGTCAAACTAAAAGCATCCTGAATCTGAGCGCATGTAAAACACACTTTCAGACAGAACCACCAGCAGCCTGAAAAATAGGATTTTAGCCACTACACCGTTAAAGTCCAACTCAAAACCTTTCCTTTCTCACTCTGTCAACGCAGATACAACGCAGACTCGTTGGCATAACAACTGACAACAACAAAACAAACAAAAACACAGAGCAGAACATTCAGTCTGTTGCAGCAGTTTGGTTTTAGGCTTAATGTCTGTTTTGCAATTATTAATGAGTGATTGATGTGACAAGAGGAGAAAACTAAATATATTGCTGCCCTTCACTGTATAGCTAGCTCCATGACTAGCTCCATGACTAGCTCCATGGCTAGCTTCATGACTAGCTCCATGACTAGCTCCATGGCTAGCTCCATGACTAGCTCCATGGCTAGCTTCATGACTAGCTCCATGACTAGCTCCATGGCTAGCTCCATGACTAGCTCCATGGCTAGCTTCATGACTAGCTCCATGACTAGCTCCATGACTAGCTCCATGGCTAGCTCCATGGCTAGCTCCATGGCTAGCTCCATGACTAGCTCCATGACTAGCTCCATGGCTAGCTTCATGACTAGCTCCATGGCTAGCTCCATGACTAGCTTCATGACTAGCTCCATGGCTAGCTTCATGACTAGCTCCATGACTAGCTCCATGACTAGCTCCATGGCTAGCTCCATGGCTAGCTCCATGGCTAGCTCCATGACTAGCTCCATGACTAGCTCCATGGCTAGCTCCATGACTAGCTCCATGACTAGCTACATGGCTAGCTCCATGACTAGCTCCATGGCTAGCTCCATGACTAGCTCCATGGCTAGCTCCATGGCTAGCTCCATGACTAGCTCCATGACTAGCTCCATGACTAGCTTCATGACTAGCTCAATGGCTAGCTCCATGACTAGCTCCATGGCTAGCTCCATGGCTAGCTCCATGGCTAGCTCCATGACTAGCTCCATGGCTAGCTCCATGACTAGCTTCATGACTAGCTCCATGGCTAGCTCCATGACTAGCTCCATGGCTAGCTCCATGACTAGCTCCATGGCTAGCTCCATGACTAGCTCCATGACTAGCTCCATGGCTAGCTCCATGACTAGCTCCATGGCTAGCTCCATGGCTAGCTCCATGACTAGCTCCATGGCTAGCTCCATGACTAGCTCCATGGCTAGCTCCATGACTAGCTCCATGACTAGCTTCATGACTAGCTCAATGGCTAGCTCCATGACTAGCTCCATGGCTAGCTCCATGGCTAGCTCCATGGCTAGCTCCATGACTAGCTCCATGGCTAGCTCCATGACTAGCTTCATGACTAGCTCCATGGCTAGCTTCATGACTACCTCCATGGCTAGCTCCATGACTAGCTCCATGGCTAGCTCCATGACTAGCTTCATGACTAGCTCCATGGCTAGCTCCATGACTAGCTCCATGGCTAGCTCCATGACTAGCTTCATGACTAGCTCCATGGCTAGCTTCATGACTAGCTCCATTGCTAGCTCCATGACTAGCTCCATGGCTAGCTCCATGACTAGCTTCATGACTAGCTCCATGGCTAGCTCCATGACTAGCTCCATGGCTAGCTCCATGACTAGCTTCATGACTAGCTCCATGGCTAGCTTCATGACTAGCTCCATGGCTAGCTCCATGACTAGCTCCATGGCTAGCTCCATGACTAGCTTCATGACTAGCTCCATGGCTAGCTCCATGACTAGCTCCATGGCTAGCTCCATGACTAGCTTCATGACTAGCTCCATGGCTAGCTCCATGACTAGCTTCATGACTAGCTCCATGGCTAGCTTCATGACTAGCTCCATTGCTAGCTCCATGACTAGCTCCATGACTAGCTCCATGACTAGCTTCATGACTAGCTCAATGGCTAGCTCCATGACTAGCTCCATGGCTAGCTCCATGGCTAGCTCCATGGCTAGCTCCATGACTAGCTCCATGGCTAGCTCCATGACTAGCTTCATGACTAGCTCCATGGCTAGCTTCATGACTAGCTCCATGGCTAGCTCCATGACTAGCTCCATGGCTAGCTCCATGACTAGCTTCATGACTAGCTCCATGGCTAGCTCCATGACTAGCTCCATGGCTAGCTCCATGACTAGCTTCATGACTAGCTCCATGGCTAGCTTCATGACTAGCTCCATTGCTAGCTCCATGACTAGCTCCATGGCTAGCTCCATGACTAGCTTCATGACTAGCTCCATGGCTAGCTCCATGACTAGCTCCATGGCTAGCTCCATGACTAGCTTCATGACTAGCTCCATGGCTAGCTTCATGACTAGCTCCATGGCTAGCTCCATGACTAGCTCCATGGCTAGCTCCATGACTAGCTTCATGACTAGCTCCATGGCTAGCTCCATGACTAGCTCCATGGCTAACTCCATGGCTAGCTCCACAGCTGAGCTAAATGATGTAAAATCAGTTGATACATTAAATGTTTTTTAGCCATTTAATTGGCGCCGTTCAGACAGGAGGAGCTGCTATCGACAGGCAGCCAGTGCAGTTAGTGAGACGCTGATCAGTCCAGGTGAGGCTCGGCTTCCTGCTGCCTCACCTGCTGCACTTCTGAGCATTTTAATGAAAATATGCAAAAATTCAGCAATTTGACTAGTCCTGCCTCCAGTGGAGGAGTTCAAGTACCTTTGGGTTCATGAATGAGGGAAGAAGGGAGGGTTAGGGTTAGGTTACCCGGCCGAAATGTATTTTTTCCGTAGAGTGGCTGGGCTCTCCCTTAAAGACAGAAGCTGAGTCATCCTAGAGGGACTCAGACTAGAGCCGCTGCTCCTTCACATTGAGAGGATCCAGGTGAGGCTTCTGGTCAGGATGGAGGATCCCTGTGAGGAGTTCATGTTCCTCCAGGAGGAGAGGAAAGCCAGGACACGCTGGAGGGACGATGTTTCTCAGCAGGTGATACCTGGAGGAGGAGAAGGCGGCACCTGGAAGATCAGGATGGATTCTCTGGGTCTGGTTCCAGAACAAGTTTGAGTTTCTGGTCTAGAACCTGAGACCCAAAGCTAAAAGAAACCTGATGCTCTGGATCATGAACAGATACTGAGCCAGTTCTCCTACAGCTGAACCAGGACCTTCAGAAGAGAAACAGGCCCATAGCACCATGCATCCTCCACCCTGCTAACAGAGAACAGATCCAGTTGGGGTTTGGTTACAGTTCTAGTATTGGTTCTGTCTGTGATGGCAGTAGAGGAGAGAGCTTCTCCCAAACAACCAGGTGGGATGTAGAGACTGATGGTTGTTCTGGAAACCCTGGGATGCTTCAGAGACGACGTCCTTCATCTCCATGCTGGTTCTGGTCCAGTAGAGTCCAAAACCAGCTGGAAGCTTGGGCTCAGACTCTGATGATTTCAGATCAGCGCCACCTGAAGATCAGGAGGAGAACAGCAGCTGCTTCCACCAATCAGAGGGCGATTTACTCAGCACCCACATCTCCTCTTCTTGCACTCACACACGCACATGCACACACACACGCACGCACATGCACACACACACACACACGCACGCACATGCACACACACACACAAAACACTGAGGAATGTTTCCAGTCTGAATGTTTTCAGACTTTCTGTGTTGCAGAACTTTGGACTGGGTGGATTTTATATTTTGTTTTTAAATGTACATGAGAAATAAAACAGAAGCTGATAACAATAAGAGAGTCTAATTTAAATGTCTTTATTATTGTTAACATTTTTATGTTCAAAATGGCAGAACTTACACATCCCTTGTTCAAATACATGAAATAAGTCAGATAAAGTATTTTGTTTATAGTATTTAAACAATGTGTTTGTTTAATTACACATGTTCTACACAGTCTGATTTATTAAATACATGTGTCCGATCTTGAATCTCTGATCTGTGAAGTGACGCAGAAAGTACCATATGTCTCTGATAGGGGGCAGTGATGCGCTCCACATTCACAACAAGCAGCAGTGGCTCTTCTTCTACACTTTGAAAAACCTGAAAAGAATCAGAAAAATGGAGAACATAGATTCAAGGCCGCTGTCCTCTGTGGCTGTCAGATTTTTGAAAATGAAATAGAAACCAACGAGATTTGTGGAGTTCAAATGAAATAAAATAAGATCAAACGCAATTTACAATTTTAAACATTTACATTTTCTGAATTAAAATATGAAGATTTTTTGTTAGTTTTTCTTGATATAAAGTGCTATGTTGGATTTGGGGTCATGCGGGTCACTGCCCCGGGCCCCGCGGGGCTTGTGCCGGCCCTGCGGCCTGGGCGGCCGGAGATGATTTGTGTGCGGCCGGCTCTGGTTTTGTGTGCAGCTCGGCTCTGTTTTGTCCCGCTGGGCCATTAGAATAAGAAAAGCCCAATAGAGAAGCGCAGGCAGAAAGAAAGCGGCACAAAGAGGCGAATCTGGAGCGGGACGAGCGGAGCGCGGTGAAAAGAGGCGCAGCGCCACAATGGAACAATTCACCTCATAATCGCTTTGATATATTATACATGCCTGAAGACTCTAAACATTGTGTAATTATTTATAAATGAGCCCCCGGATAAAGCTGCAGAAAGACTCTGCAGGTTTCTGCTGCTCCGCGAATCTAAATGGAATAATTGATGGAAAAGTCTCATAAAGATGTCTTCACAGGACGCGCGCGCGCACACAGTGCGCAATGTGCGCGCGCGCGCACAGTGCGCGAGTTCAGCCCAGATCACATCAACCGGATCCGGTTCTGTTGGTTCTCAGAGGATTTTTTCAATCTTTTTCTTGTTTCTTCTTGAAACTCTTGGAGCTGATCCAGAGGAACCGGACCGGAGCAGAACGGTCCGGTTCCGAACGGCTTGGTTCCCGGTAGAAAGGTTCTGCTGAGTTCAGAAATGATATATTATTATATATAATAACCCTAACAATAAGAGAAAAAATATTTCAGTTTCTACAAATCAAAATGACCAGGCCGCGTGCGTCCAGAACAAGACATGGTTCTGGAGGACCAGGAAACCGCCTGTTGGAGCAAAGGAAGGTTGCGGGTTAGACTTCAGCTTCCTTCATCATGTGCTTTGCCAAGAGTGATCCGAACCGGTACCGGTCCAGCTGGCGGTTCTGTCAGGAGTCAGGATGTCCAGACAGGCAGAAGGTCCAATCAGAACCAACTTGCTGTTCCACCTTTAGGAAATCTTTGTCAAACTTTATTTGCCTTTTAATTTCACAACTGAATCAATCAATCAGTTTATTGAAACGTTATCAATACACTTAATAAACCAATTAAAAAGAAGAACAGAACAGAACCAGAACAGCTCAGCTGGTTCTGTTCTGGTTCTTCTGAAAGGTTCTGGACTTGAGTTTTCTCTCTTAAAGCAGGTCAAGATTTTAGTGTGTGTGTGTGTGTGTGTGTGTGTGTGTGTGTGTGTGTGTGTGTGTGTGTGTGTGTGTGTGGTTGGTGGTGGGGGAGAAGCGGGTCTGTGCGTGTCGCTCGCGTGGCTCTGCTCCTCCTCTGATTGGCTGCCGCTGTCCGGCGGCACGCTTCTCCGTGCGGGGCGCTGCGGCGTCATTATGCAGATGAGGCGGTTGGCACGGGGCCGACCTGCCGCTGGGGGGAAACCTGGGGGGGGCGGTCATTGTCCGGCCCGATATATAAGCGGGCTGAGGCCGGGCGTGTGCCAGGCTCACGAGCTGATCCAGTGCAGCAAAGGCGCGTGCCAACAGTCCTGATCCAGACCCGGTTCTGCTGGGTCGGAACCAACACCTCCTCATCTCACCAGGTGAGTCAGCGCACGCGCTTTCCTGTTGCACCCGCACGACCAGGACCTGCATGTAACTCTGCTGTCGCTCCTCAGAACCGAACCGAATCCCAGATGGACTCCGTGTTCTCCGACACCGATACCAGCTGCGACCTGTTCCCGCACACTGACGATGAGGATAGCGTGCGGGGCGGCAGCATGCGCGGCGCGTCCCCGCCGCCCCACCAGTCGCCGCCGCTGCAGAAGAAGCGGCGGCGCGGCCGCGGTCGCACTGACGCCAGCGCGCAGGTGGTGAAGAAGAGCCGGCGGCTGAAGGCCAACGACCGGGAGCGGAACCGCATGCACAACCTGAACGACGCGCTGGACGCGCTGCGGGGCGTCCTGCCCGCATTCCCGGACGAGACCAAACTCACCAAGATCGAGACTCTGCGCTTTGCGCACAACTACATCTGGGCTTTGTCCGAAACCATCCGCATCGCGGACCTGCAGGCGGGCCGCGGCGGGGAGCCGCTCCCACTGCGGGCCGCCCCCAGCCCGGCCAGCGACGGCAGCGCAGGCCGCTGCTGGAGCTCCGGCGGCTCCTCGTCCTCCTCCTCCCCGGCCTACTGCGCCTCCAGCCCGGGCAGTCCCGCCGCGCCGGACGACCTGCTGCAGCGGGACGCGCTGTTCGGCTTCCGTAGCTTCGCTACGGGCATCTACTGAGGACACCTGGACACACCTGCAGACAGACCTGTCCCGCAGCGGAGCAGCATTTTGCCTTACTGAACTGAACTGGATGAGAAGAACGTTCTTCTTCATTTATTTGTCTCACTTTGCGTTTCACTCTAAACATCTTTGCACTTTCCCCCCTTAAACCTCCAGTGAGCAGATTCCAGTCAGACCTCCTCCTCCTCCTCCTATTCCTCCTCCTCTTCCTCCTCTTCCTCCTCCTCCTTCTCCTCCTCCTCTTCCTCTTTCTTCTCCTCCTCCTCCTCTTCCTCCTCCTCCTCTTCCTCTTTCTTCTCCTCCTCCTCCTCTTCCTCCTCCTCGTCCTCCTCTTCCTCCTCCTCGTCCTCTTCTTCCTCCTCCTCTTCCTCCTCCTCCTCCTCCTGGAGGTGAAGAGTCAACTTTATAATTAGTAAAGCGCTGAAGCAGAAAACTGAGCGTGGAAATCCAGTTTCTTCGCTCTGACAAAAGTTGAAAGAACCCCCCTCCTCCCCCTCCTCCCCCCATGCCCTCCCTTCACAGAACACCCCCCTCCCCCACCTGTTGTTTGTATTTATTTGCATTCCTCACATCAAAACTTGTATTTTGTACATAAACAGATTTTTATTCTATTTACTGGAAGTTTTTGTGGTTTTTCTATTGAATGAATAAAGTTTTAACGTTTCTATTAAAAAGTCACGTGTTTCTGTTTCTATAGCCAATCACAGGCCTCCGGACGTGCACGCGCCTTCACCAGCATTTATGATCATTAGTATTAATATCGGTTCGTTTTACTGTTCATGAAAAATTCTGCCGATTTATTAACTATAAATAAATGTTTGGTCTAAAATAAAAAATATTTTCTAATAGTGTAAAAACTTTTTGAAACAAAGTTAATTTTCCAATAACTTTATCATTCTGTTTTCATTATGAATAGTCCAAATTAAAAAGTTTGAATAATTAATCCAAACAAATAAAACAAACTTTGATTCACTGCAGAAAATCACAAAATACCAAAACAGTGAAATATCAGAGGATTATCAAAAAACGCTGATTAATAATTCAGAAAGCTAAAAATGTACTAAGATGAACAGCAAAAAGGATTTCTGCAGATTTTCTGTTTTTACAGATCATTAAAATGTAATTATGTCACAATAATATTCAAAAGAAAATTATTTTAAAAATGTATTGGTAAATTTACTTATTTATTAATCAGTTGAAGAATGGATCCAATCGAGCCTCAAAGACTCGTCTGTGTCACTGTTATTATTTATATTATTGTTGTTATTATAATAATAATAACAATGATAATAATAGTTATTATTATTATCATTATTGTTGTGGTTATAATAATAATAGTTATTATAATTATTATCATTCTCTCCTGTTTAAACAGAAATTTGCTCCAATATTAAAAGTTTCTGTTTATTGCTGTTTGCTGTTGGTCGCGGAGGCCCTGCGCGCTCCCGATTCCCGCGCCCCGCATTGTGGTTGTGCGCGGGAGCGTGCGCTAATTGAGCGGGATTAACCGCCGTCCGGCAGGCGGCCGCAGCGCCTGCAGCGCCTGCAGCTGCAGCATCACGAGCTGCAGAGACTTTCATTGGACGTCCTTTGAACCAAACCAGCTGCAGCTGATTGGCTGCCGGATGCGCGCCAAGCTCTGGTCACGTGGCCGGGAGGCCGTGAAAACAGGAAACGGTTTCAAATTAAAGCGTCACTTTTGGGTGGAGTTTGATTCCCAAAGGAACCAGAACCGAAATCAGAACCAGAGCCAGCAGCAGTCGGATGGGTTCCTCCTCACTCTTTTCAGTTTGGAAGACTGAAGATCTCTGCAGTTTGCTCCTCCTCCTCCTCCTCCTCCTCTTCCTCCTCCTGAACATCCAGGAAGAGGAGGAAGAGGAGGAAGAGGAGGAAGAGGAGGAGGAAGAGGAGCGCTTGGTGAGTCACATGCTGTAACCGCTAGCAGGAAATAGGTGCTAACTTTGGCGCCAGTCAGTTTAAAAAATGATAATAATAATGGTTTGGTCTTAACTCCGCCCACTTGGTCAATTATTCTGTAATTGTGTTTGTGGGCGGAGCTAATCTTCAGAGGAAGAGAGCCAGACCTGAAGTCAACCAGGAGTCAAGATTTACATGAAGGTAACGAGAGAGACAGAACGAGAAGAAACCACGAAAAGAGGCGAAGAGAGGAGCAGCGCCATCCGGAGGCCGACTGACCCAAGAATCACCGGGATTCCTCATCACCTCATTTCCCAGGAAGAGGACAAGAACTGAGAATCATGAATGATCGACAGAAGAGCCTCAAAGCAGCAAATAGATTCAGATGAAGGAGACGCTTCATGATCTTCATTCAGAACCAAAACGCTCCAGATGACGTTACAGAACGTCCTGAAACTGGCAGGAAGTCCAGCTCATAAGTCATGAAACCAAAACTAATAAGAGAAGATTTACAGATCAGCAG